ATATAAAACAGTTGATACGAAAAGCTAAAAAAAGAAATCTAACCAAAAGAGTTGAAAGAAGTTCTTCAAGACCTTTTAAAAGACAAAACAGCAGATCTTTCCAAAATTAAATATGAAATGTTCAAAAGTCTAGAATTCTAGGCCAAAAAGTTCTATATAACTTTTTCAATTTATTTTTCAAACAAAGACATATGCCAGTATCTTGAAAGAACAATCTCCTATATTCAATCTTCAAAAGAAAGAAATAGTAAGAAGAACTTAACAATATCAGATCAATAATCCTATTCGAAACAATATGAAAATGTTTTATTAAGATTCTCAACAACCAGTTAGCATTGGTATGCAAAAAACATAATATACTTAAGGATTTCAACTTTGCAAGTCTCCCAATGAAAAGTACTTTTGAACTAATCTAATTGTTTTACAATATCTGTAAGGAAGCTCATGAAGAGAAAAAAGAATTATGGATTCTATTACAAGATACTATTAAAGCATATAATATAGTTAATTTAGAAATGCTAAAACGAGCACTTAAAAACAAAATATTAGAAAAGATTATTGAGCTTATTTTAAATTCTTTTAAGCAAAGAAAAATTAAGATCATTACAGATATAGAACTCATCAAAAAAATAATAGCAGGAGATGATATAGATCAAGAAGAAACAATTTCTCTACTTTTTTGAAAAATTTTTTATGATTCCTTATTATATGAAATTCAAGAAAATAAAATATTAGACTATTCAATAAATTGCTCCTGAACATTAGATCTCAGCAAACCATCAAGTAATCCAAGCTCAATAGAAAACTTATTCCTTAGGCAAGCAGTAATCATTTATATGGATAATATAACATGAATAGCTAGATCTTAAAAAGATATGGAACAAATCTTTAAAAGAGCCAAATGGTTTTATGCAGCAAATGACTTCTAAATCAATAGCAGCAAATTGGTCCTTATTATAATTAATAGTAATAACAAAGATTCAAACATAATTCATTTAGGAATCAAACAAGAAAAAGTTAAGAAACTAGATCACAAAAGTTATGCAAGATTTCTAGGCATATAATTAGGTAACAAAGATTAAATAAAAGATACTATTAATAAAATATAACAAGAAGTTCAAGGAATTCTACCAAATTTAAAAAAAAGTTAATAATAGACAAGCATGGGAAGTATATTATTAATAGAGTTCTGATATCTAGAATAGAATATAGAATATAATATAGTTCAATCAATTTCTATATAGCCAATTATCTTTTAACACAATTAAAAAAGGCATTTAAAAAAGTAGTTCACATAACATAAACAATTTTTAACTCTGTTATATATTACAAACACTTTTACAAAATCAAAAGTATAGAGAAGATATAGTGTAAGAGGAACTGAAAAATTAGGTAGATTCAACATATGTCATCCTCGCCCAATTGGGGTTTAATTGGGGCTTGAGAGATTTTTAGGATTTTAGGGATTTTAGGGATTTTTTAACATATATATAAAGAGAGAAATGTACTAGAGAAAAAGCAACAATAAAATACTGTCCTTTTACTATAAAACTCAGACTATTATCTAACACTTTCACTTACCTTGTGCCATATCTCCACGCCTCTTTCGATGTTACATGATCAGCGATTGCGATGTAGCGACAGACTTGCCGTTATAACCCCTAACAATAACTAGAGAACCAAATTACCAACTTCATGAACAGATTAAATAACTATAATCATTCATATAAATATATTCTAATCAAACTCAAACAAGTACAAATATAATATTGAAAATCAATAAATCTTTTTTTCAAAAATATTGTCAACAACAACTATAAAAGAAATCTTTTAGCACAAATACTCAAGACAGCAAACAAAATAGAAATTACATTTTCAGACTTTCAATAGATAAATATATTCTAATGAAAAAAAGGACATATAATAATAAAAATTCTTTTAAACAATTTCTTCTCTTATAGCAAAGTAACAAAATCTTTAAAAAAATACAATATCATATTTGTAGATCAGCTAATAGACAAGGAATACAATATGCTTCTAAATTGGAAAATATTACAATTTCCAAAAAATCAAGAACAAGAACTTATATCAATATAGTATTAATCTATAAAAAAAATACTAGCAAATGATTATGGTATCTTCAAGCAAAAATGGATAGAATATAATTGGATACTTCAAAATAAACTACTCTTTATATTCAATAAAAACATAGATTACAGGAAATAGTCCTAACAAGTAAGTACAAATAATAACAAGAAATAAATTGTTTTGGTTTAAAAGTAAAAACATATAAGTAATAAACAATCAAGATATAGAATACTTTTAGATCAGAATAAAAAAAATCCAAGTATAACCAAATTTACAAAGATCGAAGCTGATCAAGAACAAGTTAACAAAAACCCTACGTTTGCCTTTAATTAGATAAATAAGATTGCCAAATATAAAAAAAGCAAAGAGTTAATAATATCAATCAAAATGTATATATTAAAAAGTCAGGTCAAAGCAAAACTGAAAAAACTTTGTTCTAACAATACAAACATCCAAACTCCAGTATATCAAAATAAAAGATTATAGTATATAGATAATTCAAGATAATATAGAGTCAGAAGAATACTGAAAATAATTGTACTCAGAATATAGACTTAACATGGACAAGGATAAAAAGAATATTTATAGATAGAGCCATAGGCAAAGCATTAGATCAGTTTATAAAGATGGAAGCAACATGGCTTCAAATAGAAGGTTTGAATTCAGGAAAAATATTTTAAGCAGGAGTTAGTAACTGGTTTTCTTTAACAAGAGCAAAACTAATAATAATTTTTTTAGTAATGATAACTATATCAAATAATAAACATATTGAAATCAGAATAGATAGTGCCAATTGTATTAATATTTTCATAAAGTCAAGCAAACTTTACCCTAAAGAAATACTAAGAAGACAAATAAAAATATCAAACTGATAGCTATAATTAAGACTAATAAATACAGTTACAAGAAAAGGAATTTAACTGAAACTTATTAAAATCAAAGTCCATAGTAAAGACAGGCTAAATGACCAAGCAAATCAATTAGCCAAAGTAACAAAAGAAAAATTAGAAATTGAATAGAAACTACTGTCAATAATATTCTTAATTACAGTATCAGAATGGAACAAGATTCTTATAAATATCTTAATTAAAGAGTTTATTAAAGATGTAAACAAGAAAGAGATTCTAATACAATGGATATCTCTTAACAAAATATAATAGTAATGAAAATATAAAATAACAAATTATAACAAAATTGATTGGAGAGGTTTTTGGTAATATAACAATAGCAAAGAATTACCAATTATCTTATTTAAACAAATGAAAAAAAGAACATTCAAGATTAAGCTTATATACAATAAATTGTCAATTTTGAATAATCTAATTATATGGAATACCCAAGAACTATTAGTAAATACAAAGTGTATCTTTTGTCTAAAATATAAAAAAATAATAGATTATTTATAACTTGTAACAAACTCCAAAAAGATAATGATATGATATGGGAAAATATTTTTAACAAGTTATATATATTCTGAATTATAAAATATATTAACAAAGACAAAAAGAAAGCCAAATGAAACCTAATATCAATTTATAGAATAATAAAAAAGTGGAAAACTGAAAATTGTCCTTAGCAAAAGAAATAATAAATATTAGTGTAGAATTGTAGATAAAAGAAAAAACATTAGAATAGATTTATATATACTGTATACTTAATATATATAAAGTAGCAATTCAAAAGATCCTAAACAAAATATCATAAGGTTGAAATAAAGAGTTTTGTCAACAAATCTAAAACACAAGATATAAAAAAATTCACAATCACAAGAAAACATATAACAAAGGAAAAGGAAGAAAGATAAGCTTTAACTTGAGGATATTAAAAGAAGTTTCCAAGTTCAAAAACAAGCATAGATCTTAGGAAAAGAAAAAGAAGACAATAGTAATACTAACAGATACAAACTTAGTAACTGAAGGTACCAAGGTCTCAGAAACCTTCACACAAATCTTATGAAACAAGATAAAGGAAGGAATCAAATAGTTAGGAATATAATATAATTAAGATCTTGTTAAGATAAACTATAGGAATGAACTGTGGACAATAAACTCAAATTCTTTTAGAAATGGAGAAAATAAGTAAGCAACTTTATTCATTTTTAAAATCATATTTAAAGATTGATAATCAGAAACAGGTATTCAAGTATTAGCTTAGTTTATATATAAAAGTTTTGTACTTGTATGTTTTTAACTCCTATGATTAAATAAACATAATAAATACTTGTTTAATTATAAAATAATAATAATAATAATAATTTTAATAATAAAAATTCAAAGATTATATTTAAAATTAAAATTTAAACTTAAAAAGTTTTTATTTTTTAAAAAACTTTTATTTTTTTAAATTAGAAAATCATATTAGAATAGTAATTTAAATATGTATTTATCATTATAAACTTTTGAATCTAAATACTATATATATAATTTTGATTATTCTAGTTTAATAAAAAGCAATTTGTTTTATTTTTTTATAATTATATTTGAATTTGTTAAAAAGTGATTTATTAATTTTTTTAATTTCACACAAGTATAATAAATTATATAATTTATTGCATTGCTATATTATTATGCAATGTGATTAAAAGTAAAAATAAAAACAAATAACCATATATATTAAAAATAATTATATTATTATTATTATATGTTTATATTCTATTTAATTGAATATTATATGAAAAATTAAAACTTAGAATAAGCTTGTTACTAGATATCTAAATATTTAAAATCACCTTAGGAAAAAAAAACCCAGATTATATAATATGCATGTCGATCGCCGTCATTAACAGAAGTGTGTATAAAAATGATAATTCAGCAGCCGTCTTTTTTCCTTCAAAAATTATTGAACGTAGAGGCAACACTAATTCCGACGTTTGAAGACCTTTTCACTCGATTCTCGTTGTGCACTTAATTAATATGGTGAATGAGATTTCCATAGGCTTAATTGAGAAGGAAGACGTTTGGGTTTGCTAACTTTGAACCATATTTCTCCTCTAGAATGCTTTAAAGTCGGCTCAAAAAGATAAGGTCAGACAGTTCATGGCCTTCACGAATGCGAGGTAATGCAGGAATATTCATTGGGTTCGATGTTGTGTGATGGCAAAGTTTTTCCGGTGTTGTGGGTTTCGATGTCCTCATGTAATTTTCAAACCCCTTTAGCGAACGTATTTCCATCCGAAAACTTAAAGAATGCAATTGGAACGTCGAGGTAGCGGTGGACGCTTTTTTCAACGATCAACCTAGCACCTGGAGAGCTTTCGGTGGGAGTTCACAAGGTTCAGTAAACACTGACGCTTATAAGCTCAATCAGATTTTCTCAAAGTATAAAGGTCAGTATCATTGCGAAAAATCGACCGAATGGACTAATCTGTATGCTATTAAATAGGGATCGGAATCTGCGTAGGATTTCGTAAATTCTTTGTGATCATCCATAAGGATCAATATCAATCTTAGGTGTTGACTGCGTTTGATTTTCGAATATTGTTATTAGATAAGGATGAAGACGCCATTTTGGTGGACGGAATGTTGGAGTATTGCAACGATTTGCATGTTTCACCTGAAGATGTTGTTTTGTTGGTCATTGCGTGGAATCTTGAAGCAGAAAGAATGTGCGAATTCAAGAGACAGAATTTTATCAATGGTTGGACAAAATTGAGGTGGATATGGTTTTCTTCCTAACCGAAACATTCCCATGCAATCTCCTAGGCCTAATGTTTATTCTTGTTGTCGGTAGATGTGATTCAATTGAAAAGATGCGTGCGGCAATACCTCGGCTTCGTCAGTCACTGAAGGAGGAAGCCACATTTAAGGAGGTTTACCAGTTTACTTTTAAATTCGGATTGAGCGAGAACCAGAAATCTTTGAGTATGTTCACCCCACTTAACCTAACCTTACGCGTCCTCGTCGAAATATTTCTTGTTGATCGCGATTTTCATAACGTCTAGGTCTCGATGTGGCGATAGAACTCTGGAAGTTGCTCTTGAGCGATCGTTGGCAACATCTTGACATATGGATAGAATTCTTAAAAGTTGGTTTTATCCTAGTTTCGAATTATTCGTGTTGTGTGATATTAATCGTTTTGGTTATTTCACTGTTCATCAGGAAAAGCACGGAAAATCGATCTCCAAAGATACGTGGAATTTGGTAAGTGCACGAGTGAATGAATGGATCATTGGTTTGACTGAGTTGTTGGAGTTTTATTGGGACAAGAGAAAAACCAACCGTAATGAACTTAAAAAAAAAAATAGCTGCTAGATTTTATCAAACAGATTAATCTCGAACTTTCTAATTATGACGCTGAAGGTAATTAACAAAAACTCGAACTATATCATCAATCATTTTTTTCTATCAAATTGCTCACATCTCCCCATTTCAATTTGCTGCTTCAGGTGCTTGGCCTGTCCTTATCGACGAGGTACGATGCTTACATTTTCGCCTGAAACCTATCTTTATTTTTTTAAAAAATGTAAATATAAATATAAATATTGAAACGATTGTATTTTTTCGATAGTTTGTGGATTATGCTAGAGAGAAATTGCAATTGCGATCATCCTAGACGGCTGCGAAGGGATCTTCCGAAGGTGAAACGTGTAATATCAATAGATTCGTAAATTTCTCTTTTTTATTTTATATATTTTTTTGCTGACCCTTTGCAATGACAAACATTTTCGACATTTACATTCTTTCCTCTCATTAACTGTGTCGATTTCATCTATACTCTTTTGTCTATAATTATTCATCATGCAAGTTTCTCTCTTCGTTAAAATTTATCACGAATGATATCTTTTAACACCTAGATAAAAATTATAGTGAAGATTTACAGTTAATTGGACGAGAGACGTGTATATGTACGTGTGCTAGAGGACGCGAGCATATGTATGTACATAAGTACGTAGAAACATGTATTTTTTGGTGATTCGGTCGTACGGGCAAGCTTTTTTGGGTTAATCCTGATTAAATTGAACTTGTGAATAGATTTTGTGTGAATTGTATGTAATTACGCTAATGTTACACATATATTTCTCAATTACGTCGAATAGTAAACTTGTTGCATGAAAAAAAATTACATATTTCCAACTTCGTAAATATTATATATGGATATGAAACGTGGATTCGTAACATGACAAATTTGAGCGCCATGTGGTACGTAAGTACCTGTTACGTACTAAATAAATCATGGGGCTTTATGTCAAACTAATGGAATACGGAAAAATTGGGGTCATAATGAAACGAACCAATCATGACAATTTCCGTAAAAAAAAAAACCATTTCACACGTTTAGCTTTTTTTTTTTTTTTCTTTCTTATACAAAAAACCTTCCTTGACTGAGATCTCACTCTAACGTCATTACAATCTTCAGTGTTAAACTTTATAAACTTTAATTTCGACAAACGACGTACATTTGACAAAGCATGGGTACTCCCGCTGACGAAGGTTGCAAAAGTCTTTATGTTGGTAACCTCGATCCAAGGGTGACTGATAGCATGCTCCACGAGATCTTTGGCGTAGCAGGATCTGTAAACAATACGAAAATTATTCCTGATAAAAATGTGAGTTGACCTTATCATCGCGACAAGCCAATGCGATTGTGAGGGTTAAGGGGGTATTGGCTGAAACTTGGACTTGATCACCTCAGTGGTGTGTTGAATGGCAATTTTTTGCCTTTTTTTCTTGAATCGAGGGCACTGTTTGAACGAGCTCTTTTGTGGAGTTTTCCGTAATGGCTGGCCTTGCTGGACACTCCGAGTTGCGCTCCATAGATATATGACGCAGCTCAAAGGTTGGAATTCCTTTATCTTCCCTCAATATTATCCATCTATTTTCCTTTTCTTTACTCTCTATCTGTGTTTGCTTCGATGAGTTGTTTTTTTTTTTTTATTATTTATTTATTTATTTATTTATTTCCAACCGTTTTTTTTTTTTAATATTACAAAAAAAATTTATTTTTTTTTCTGATGTTGCAAGTTTATTTTCATTTTTTTTTTTTTTTTCTATTTCTACGAAAACATTCACCTAACTTCGTTGATCAAACCAGTCATAATACTTTTTTGCAGCTATAGTGGTTTTGTGTGACAGAGTGTATTGACAAGACAAACTTACCGAGTTGGCTCGTAGGCTGTTCTCTTACAACTTTAGAAATATGGACGCCTTGTTTATTGATTGATCTGCGGTAACCTGATGACTCACAATATTTCTCTATTCCTTTTCTTCTTGCATTGTCAGTACCAACACGGTGGGTTAAACTATGGCTTTGTTGAATTCAACGATCACCGTTCCGCCGAACAAGCTCTTCAAACTCTTAATGGTCGAAAGATATACAACATGGTATGGTATTGACATTAATTCAATAATCAAATTATTGACGTGTGTCATTTATTCAGATTTGCAATCATGTTCTTAATCTTCTAGGAGATTAAGGTGAATTGGGCCTTTCAGGGGCAACAAGGACACAAAGAAGACACCTCAAGTATGCCACCGTTCTTCATAGAATTGCAATCATATTATTTGATGGTAACGAAATTCTTTTTTTTTTTTGTACAGATCATTATCATATTTTTGTTGGGGATTTGAGTCCTGAAGTTAACGATGAAGTGCTTGCCAAGGCCTTCAGCGCATTTGGTAGCATGTCGTAAGTACATGAATGAAGTGTATGCTAATTACCAAATTTAATCATCTTGCAAATCATTTCGTGATGAACGATTGATCACATTAGGGATGCTCGCGTGATGTGGGATGTTAATTCTGGAAAATCTCGAGGGTATGGGTTTGTTGCATTCCGTGACAAAACGGTAAGTTCGTAAAATTCCATACTATTTACCAGGAACACGACTTCAGAAATTTACTATCACATTCTTCTCATCAAGGACGCGGAACAAGCTATCGCAACAATGAATGGTAAGTGATGTACTGCTTCTCATTGACTCGTCTTGTGGCCAAGGTAAAGTTCCTCACGATGTAAATTCTGCACAGGCGAATGGCTTGGGAGTCGTGCTATCCGGTGCAATTGGGCCAATCAAAAAGGCCAACCGGGTCCTGGAAGTACGTCATCAGAACGACAAGGTATTAATGCGCCATTTTTTTTTGTTATCGATCTGCTTTTATATATTGACGTTACAAAACCTTTCAATCAGGAAATCCCACACAAGCGCCTCAGCTATCTTATGACATCGTGGTTGCGCAAACCCCGCAATATAATTGTACCGTATATGTCGGAAATTTACCACCCTATACCACACGTAAGTTCTTATATGTGTGCATGCTTGTGTGAAATAACTTTCTCTTTAGAATTTTGCTCACCAAACCTATAATAACATATAGAGGAACACTTGATACCATATTTTCAACCTTTCGGATTTATCATTGAGGTCCGCATGCAAGCTGACAGGGGCTTTGCTTTCGTGAAGTATGCGACCTATTTCATTTCTCAACCTTTCATTCTTCGCTCACTTACCAACGAGATCTTTTTGATTCATTTAGACTAGACTCGCATGAAAATGCTGCACATGCAATTGTAAACCTTCAAAATACAAACATCAACGGTCGAGTTATCAAGGTAATGTTATTATCATCACCACCTTTTTTCACATGCATCGAATTTTTACTTTATTGAAATGGGATTAATCAATCCGTAGTGTTCTTGGGGAAAAGATCGGGCCCCTGAGGCAGCCACGACCACCTATCATCCTTACGGCGTGCAAAATACCGCCTATAATTACAGTCCTTACGGGTATTACGGCAACCACACTGGTCATCATTATGCCAGCACTGAAAGTGGCTATGATCTCCCACCCGGAATGTCTGCACCACCACCATCTCTGACATCTCTTGATAGTGCTACTGCCGCTGCTGTGGCCGCTGGTCAACAACCACACGCCACGGCTGGCTGGGAACAATATTATAACAATGGATACGAGGCCTACGGACAACAATATTATCCGTATGGCTACGGTCAGGCTGTTGCGCCAGGTGCTCCAGGAATGGGTGCTCCTGCGTCCCCCCACGCCGTTGCCGGTGGCCATCCCCCTTCGGTTGGCGGTCATGGTCCCTCAGGCGGAAGCGCCTACTCCGGTTGATTACGTATGGTACACACGTCGGATTCGCGTAAGAAAAGTAAATTTTAGGAGTAATGTAAGGGTCATTGTATAAATATTGAACTTTCTTTATTTTACACGATCGGGTTGCCAATATTCTTTTTTTTTTGATTTCTTGTGAAAAAAAAATTTTTTCTTTTAATCAGTTCAGTGTGTAGGTTTTGAATATATGTACATACATATTTCTTTGGTGCGCATTTCCGAATTCTTTTTTTTTTCTACATAATCTTATAAACACTAAAAAACGAACTTTCCTGAATTTTGAGAGAATACAGTATTTATAGTTTTATTACGGTTCTTTTTTCCTTATCTACAATTTATGCTTATCCAAATTATCATCAAATATATTAAAAAAAGAAAATTTTATCTTGCTCTTTTTCATTCAACTTAAATTATCGACGGCAATAAATTTGCATATTAGTATTGTTTTGATTTCTTGGTTATTTACAAAAATTGTGATATACAATGTTATAATGGTATGGAACAAGTTGTTTTTGATTTTTTGAAAAAAAAGTTTAAATTAAAATGTATAAATCAATATTATTATAAATAAATTAATAATGATATTTATTGTTATTTTCTTACATTAAACTATTTTAAAATTATTGTAAAAGTTATTTATTTTTTTGAATTAAATAACATTAAGATAAAAGGATTACGTATATATAAATTTAATTACAATATATAAGAATTTTATTAAATGTTTAATATTTTTTTTAAGACTAAGTGTGATAAATGTGTGATTTTTATTAATCAATAATGATTATATTATTTTCTTACATGAATAGTCTATTTAAGTATCTCCAGCTACTACTTAAGTATTAACTAATACTACTTGCTTTTTGATCCAACTTATACGTATATATAAACTTATATTAAGAAAGTAAGTTTATATATCAAATAGGATTTAATCAAAAGATAAAAATTTTGTTATTAATTTAAACTATTTAATCTGCTAATTTAATTTTTGTTAAAGAATATTTACCTTGCAAAGATTATTAGAATAATCAAACATCTTGATACTTTTTATCTTAAACTAATGAGAAAATGGTATATTTGTAAATCTAGTTTAAGATTTAATATTTATAAAAATTTTTTATTATATATTATAATGTCTACTTGCAATAAATATAAGATATTTAATATAAGTATATATTTTTTAATAAATATTTTAAGAATAAATTCTTTGATTAATTACTTGTTATCAAATTTAAAAATCAAATAATTATAGTAAATAAATACAATTTCAGAATCTTTTAATAAATATTTCAAAAACTCTTGATTAACTTAAACTATCAAATTTAAGAGTCTAAATATCAAGTAATATATAACATTTATATATCAATAAATTGTTAAAAAGCTTTTCAAATTGTTATTTATCTATTTTACTAAAGAATTTTTTTAAAAAATAATTTAATTTGTATTAATATATTATATTATAAAATTGATTATACTGTATAAAAAAAAAAAAATAAACTTATAATAGGAATTAGATTAGAAGTTTTTTTCTTACATGATTTTTTTTGCTTTTTAATCAGTTTTTTGTTTATAATTATAAAAAATTAAAAAATTTATTTTTATATAGTCTAATTTAATTTGATTAAAATTTAAATATTTAAATATTTTATATCTATATTTTTGTTTTTTATATGTATTAAATTAGAAATATATATTTGATAATTTGAAAGCATAAATTGTAGATAAGGAAAAAAGAACCGTAATAAAACTATAAATACTGTATTC